TGTTTCTCATTCTCTCAAACTGAAGTAGATACATAGCAAAGCTCTAACCCACAACCCCGGTGGTGGGTTCGAAACCAGGGTTTCAGACATGACACACACACTCCATCTTAGTTATGTCTATAGGTCCCTGAAGCAAGATATACTGTTCCACCCTTCTGCTGCCCGGAAACGAAGGTATCAGGACATGAAAGCTGCAGAGAGATGGGCAGCGATACGCCCTAGGATACGCCAAGAGTGGAGCCACATTGGAACTCAGGGATACAGGCACCCTCGTACTGGCAGGCACACACAGAAGACACAGGTCACCCCTAGATCCACTATGAACTTGCAGGGTCTTTCATGAGCATCACGACAGACTGAGATTAAAACATTACCCACAGCCATTGCCCCCCACCACACACACACCTTAGTTATCTCCTCAGCCTTACCTGGGAAGGTCCCGAGAACCAACAGGCTGAAGACCAGTAGTGGGGCCGCACGGGGTGCCATGGCGGGTGAACTGAGGCAGGCCACAGAGAGTGTGTAAGCGTGAGAGTCCTTGGGCGTGTGCAGGAGTCTGTGAGAGGCTGAAGCCCTGCGGGGTGTGCGGGGGAATTATCGGAAGCACTCGGTTGCCCTGATGTGGTTTGAAGGGGTCCAGAGGCAAGAGAATGTGAGGCCGTGTGAGCCCCTGTGAGCCCTAGAGAGCCTGTACGAGCCTCTGTGAGCCAGTAAGAGACTGCTCCAATTTATGCCCTTGAACTTTCTTTCACTTTCTGTCCAAAAATTCCCTGTCATTGCTCCGGTTTGGGTCTTCCCGTTTATCCCCCTCTGCCCCCTTTTTTTTTTCTTTTGGCAAAACATGACCTTGGCTTCCTTCTTCCCCTACTCAGTGGCTTCCCCCTCTGCTTTCTTTGGCTTTAGCTCTGAGAACTTTAACAGTCTGGGCAAAAAAAAAAAAAAAATAAAAAAATAAAAAAATAAAAACCGAAAAGCACTGCGTCCTATCCGCTCCAGGGAGAGGGTGTGTGCGGTCCTGTTAGTGCCACTGGCATTGTCTGCTGAGGCCTGGGCATCGGAAGTGCTGTTAGGGTGGGGTAATTAGGGCTGAGTTGGGAAGTGGAGCTGGAAGGGAAGGCTCCTGAGGACAAGGCCCAGGACCCTGATCCTATATCTTGAGCCCCTGCATCCCAACCACCTGAGCATCTACAGGCATTGCCCATTTTCCCAAATCCAGTGCCTAGGTCAGAGGAACAGCTGGAAGGAACCTGGACCGGAACAACCCCTGCCATCTTTCCCTTCTTAATCCTGGGAACCAAGAGGGGATTTCTAAGGAGAGGGGCTGGCCAGCTCTTTCTGAGACAAACCCCTAAATTTCAAGGAATTGACAGATGAATAAATGATTTCCCACCCTTGTGGGAGAGATGAGAAGACCTCAGAAGAATAGCTAATATGGGTACCCATCCAGCCCTCTGGACCCCAGCTCTGGGCCCTCTGCACGTGTGAGTTGTATAGAAACGTGTGCTTGTATACATGCCCATGTAGAGGCCAGAGGTTGATACCTGGTGTCTTCTCCCATGACCCTACACTGTAGTGTTGGAGATAGGATCTCTCACTGAACCCAGAACTCACTGACTTAGCAATACCAGCGGGCCAGTGAGCTTCAGGCATCCTTTTGCCTCTGCTTTCCCAAGTGCAAAGATTACAGGTGCCTGCTACTGTGCCCAGCTTTTAAGGTGGGGTCTGGGGATCCAAACTCAGGTCCTCTTGCTTGCACAGCAGACACTTGACTGTCGTGGCCAGCTCTCCAGCCCTTGGATCCTCTTTTTAACCAGGAAAGGGGAGCAATGTCTTCTTACATTTCTGACTTAAAACTTACTTCAAAATTGCACGTATTTTTTGTGTGCTTGGGAGGGCCACATGAGTGGAGGTCAGAGGGCAACTTTGAGGAAGTTGGTTCTCCTGCCACTTTGGAGATGCTGGGGATCAAAGCCAGGTCATCAGGCTTGATAGCAAGTGCCTTTACCACCTGAGCGGGCTCTGTATTTCTCAGATTCATCTTCATTTTCATCCATTAGTAATAATAACAGTAGCATTTCCGACTGTCCCTGGGCTCTGAATCAATCACTCTGCCGGCAGTACCTTGTGTCACCTTCCCAGGCATACTACAACACGTGTTTATTATCCTGTGTTGTAATTCCTTTTCACATATACAGAGAGCGAGGCTCAGAGAGCATAATCACACAGACAGTTCTATCCCCCAACCACGTGTGCCAACCATCTACTGGGCATAGCATGCAGTGCAGAGCCCACAGTACACAACAGAGGTCAGAAGCCGACAACACCATCCACCAGCTGTGTGGCCGGGCAAGTTAGTCTCCGTGTCCTGGTGTCCTTAACTGCGAAAGGGAGACCGCTATACATTTGCCTTTTACGATTTAATGGGCTGAGTCATTTTAGCTCAGAGGCTGGTACACTGTGAGCCCTCACTAACCTTCATCATCCTTGCCTCCTTCCACACAGGACCTGTCTGTTCACCCACAGGGTTGCCTATTCTGCTTTCTCTGCCTTTGTCTGTTCCCTGCTCTAGTTCTGCTATGTTCCCTGAAAGGTTGACCCATGCAGGCTGCATTACCCAGGATCCTTTGCCCTTGGCTTCTGTTTGGGTGTGGTCAATGAGGGACAGCAGCAGAAGAGAAGCAGACAGGAAAGAAACATTGGGGTGTTCATTCCCCAATGCTTTTGTGCTGATGGGGTGCTGGCAGCTAAGAGCGCAGTTATTCTCCAAGACTAAACTCTGTCAACAGCATTAGCATCACCTGGGATGTGGTTGGACATCCGAACTACTCAGGCCTAGTACTCGCATTCTGGAGATGGTCCAGCAAATTGTTTAACCACCTCCCAGATGATTCTCGTGCAAGCTAGAATTTGATCTAGAGTTGCAGGTCCTTTTTATTGTGGTTGTTTGGACAGTGTCTCACTGTAGAGTTATGGCTGGACTGGTATTCCTTGTGCAATTCAGAATGTTCTCCAACCTCTGAAACTGTAAGAGAGACACTCCAATTAAATGTTTGGATTTATAAGAGTTGCCATGGTCCTGGTGTCTCTTCACAGCACTAAGACACTTAGTCATCAGTGACTTGAGAAGAATTGGGAGGTGTGGCCTTGTTGCAGTAGGTGTGGCCTTGTTAGAGGAAGTATGTCACTGGGGTTGGGCTTTGAGGTTTTAAAAGCCCAAGCCAGGCCTGGTGTCAGTTTCTCTCTCTCTCTCTTTGCCTATGAGAAGAGCAGGCTCTTAGCTACTGCTCCAGACTTGCCTGAATGCCTCCATGCTCCCCATCATGATGATTATGGATTAAACCTCTGAAACTGTAAACAAGCCCCAATCAAATGGCTTATTTTGTTAGAATTGCCTTGGTCATGGTGTCCCTTCACAACCATAGAGCAGTGGCTAAGACCACTCTGTAAGACTCTTTATCACAAACAGTATATGTATTTTCTCCATGTTCTCTGGGCTGTTCTAGCAAATTAATGAAGCCAAAGGTGAGGCAGGATGGAAAGATAGAGAAAACTAAAGGGATAACAGCAGGGAAAGGAGCCCTTTACCTGTAGTGATATTTCATTTGTATTTTAACGAATAAAGCTTGCCTGAAGATCAGAGAGTAAAGCAGCCCCACTGGCCAGCCTTACAGACCAGGCAGTGGTGACACACACCTTTAATCCCAGTAGCCACGCTAGTTTGCTACAAAAACCTGGCAGTAATGGTGCACTCCTATAGTTCCAACACTAGAGAGGGATATAGGACGGGAGGACACAGTTCCCAATCTCAGTCTCATTCTGAGATTCTGGGAGGCAGGATCGCCATTTTGACTGAGGCAGAGGTAAGAGCCAGTGACTGGCTGTTTTGCTTTTCTGACCTTCAGGTTGAAGCCTGATTTTTGTCTCTGGGTTCTTATTAACCGTGCTCCATTACCCAGGATCTAGATCGCTTGTCCTGCTGTCTGAGGCAAGGAATTTTAGCTGAAGTTTAGGTAAAGTACAACTGACAACCGATAAAGCAAAGGATTGACTGTGAAATCATGTCTTTTCCTAATGATGTCTTAAGAGAGGGGGCCAAACGCAACAAGCAAACTCTGTTTACACACGGTCAAAACGTTTTTAACCCAGAGTTCTAAAATAAGTACCCTTTTCCTACCCTACGTCTAAACATCTAAATAAAACTACCTTATAGAAACACCTTACATTTGCATTTGCACAAGAAAATTCTTGAAGAAAATAATTCTGCACACACTTTTACTTAAATTTAATTTTGCTTAAGTTTTAAGCTTTGTTTAATATTTGACCGTCATGGTAAATTACATCTTTTAAAGAATGTGACAAAAGAGCAGGGTGGTGGCGCATGCCTGTAATCCCAGCACTCGGGAGGCAGAGGCAGGCACACACTGGAAAGACACCTAAGAGTGATTTTCCAAAGCCAACACCCCTTTGGATGTGTTCTGTCCTTCTCCCTGTAACTCTGATGACAATAGGAACAAGAAGCTTACCAGGCAGCTATGGTGGGGCTTGAGAAATGAGTACGTCTGCTTCGTTTCTCCACAGACAGCTCTGTCTTGGCCAGAAGTCATAAATGTCCTTAGACAGAAATGTTTAAGAATACTGGTCTGTGTTCTGGTTTCTTGTTATCCATCTTTCCCTTTTATATAGCAGCCTAATGGCTATAACTGCCTGGATTCCAATCACAATCAGAGACTTCATTGGCTTTGAAACTGTCTCCAAAACCATGAGGATGTAGAGATGCATGGTCATCCACCATCAGTCCAGGTAGACCAGCTGGACCAACCGACTCACCTCCCTATGCCTCTAGCCAGTAAAGTCTTATTAACCCTTAGCCAAAGACCCTCAGTAGCAACCCTTCCTCGAGATCCTCCTGTTGCGTGGGAGCCCGCCTGTTTCCATCCCCTTAGATAACACTCCTTACTGAAACACTCACCATTTGTTGCCTGTGTCATCCATTTTTCTAGGTCTTGAGACAAAGGGCCCAGAAGCTTTGGTGGCTATTGATCGTCAGGGACTCTTGTCCCCGGAGTTGTATTCACCTAGGTGAGAAAACCTTTGCCACAAGCACAGAATCTCTGCTTTTTCCATTTCAGTCCTTTGTCTAAATCCTTAATAAGCTCTGATTTTTGCCTCACTCAGCCATCCTGAAGTTCCTCGTACATTCAAACATCAGCTCTGCCCGAGTGGAGGTCCCTGTGGGGAAGGGAACTCTTCAGGCCACCAGTGGCTGTGCAGAGCTGTGACCTCCTGCTGCCATCGATGACACCATCTGTGTCCTCTAATTCACTTCAGTTCCAACACTCCTGAATGGAAGACAGCGCCAGTCCATCAGCCGGAGGACTCAGTCCCAGGAGATTGCTGCTAGATTCAGATGCCTGTGACAAGCACGGGTTGTGATTTGTGCTTCTGACCTACGGTTCCCATGATCTTTTCATCAGTTCAGAGCTGCAAGACTGACCCAGTACTGCCACCAGCTGCCTGGGGTAGGAAGAGTCTCCTTATGTGGGGACCAGAGGCCACTCAAGTGCTGAGTAATGAGTAGAGCGTGGGAAATATTTGATCTCCTTATATCCTTACAGTGAGCCACCTCTTTTCTGTCAGAATCTCCAGGGACATTGTAAACTTTACCAGAAGAGACCCTAGAAAGTAGATTCCCCGAATGGAATGCTGGGATTGGGTTGCATGTATATTTAAGTACATAGACAATATCTTTGCATGGACAAAGAGGACCCAGGAAATCAGGAGGACACAAGAGTTTCACAAGCACCAGCGAGGTGACACAGGATGGGACTTGTCAGGATCCCAGTTTGATCCCCTCTTCTCCCCAGTCTTTGCACTCCCTCTTGAAGACCCAGGAGACAGAGTATAGCAGAGAAGCAGAGGTTATTTACAAGTAAAATACACACTCAATGGGGAGAACCAACAGTGGCCAAAGAAACCATTGCTCCTATCTACGTTCTAGGCAGGTTACTCTACTTCCGATAGTCTCTGTAACAAGCTGCTTTCCTAAGGGACTTTGTCCTGTCTATGTGACTGAAAGACCTGCTTGTTCTTTATCAGGAAGCCTCTTGCCATGTAGTCCTCCTCCTTGTAAGACTCAGGGCTGCTAGAGCCTGGTTTAGATATATTTCCACTGATGATGATTTAATCAGTTCAAGATGCCATATCTCCTCTCAGGGCCAGAGGTATGAATTAGGTCTAATTCTTCTGAATGATACTTAAAGTCCTCCTGGGTTTCATAGACTGTTTGTTGCCTATGAAGGAAGTATCCAGTCCTAATCTCCTCCAAACCTGCTAGTGTGTAACTAAGAACCTAAGACAAGGTTTGAAGATAAGAAGACATTAGGCGATAAAATCCCTGAGGTACATAACTGCCAGGATTACAAACGATGATTGCAAGTGGCTTCTTTCTGATTGTGTTGACAAAATTATGATTTAAAAAAGGACCAGGTTGTGACTGGAGAGATGGCTCAGAGGTTAAGAGCACTGACTGCTCTTCCGGAGGTCCTGAGTTCAATTCCCAGCAACACATGGTGGCTCACAATCATCTGTAATGAGATCTGGTGCCCTCTTCTGGCCTACAGGCATGGAGGCTGAACACTGTGTGCATAATAAATAAATAAATCTAAAAAAAGGGGCCGGGTTAAGAGAGCATAAAGTGGATTTTCCTTTTTCTCCTTCCTTCCTTTCTTTTTTCCTTTTTCTTTGATGCAGAGTCTCTCTCTGTAGCTCAGGCTGGCCTTGAACTCATGACAAGGTTCTTGTCTCCGTCTCCTAGTGTTGGGATTACAGGCATGGTATGGAATCACCAAGCTCAGCAGGAACCTTTATTTTATGTGGCCCTTATGTTCCCCTCCTCCCCCCTCCTCTTCCTTGCCCTGCCCCCCACTCCTGGAGAGTTGCTGATCTTCAATTTATATTGAAATCCTGAAGAAGCAGGTTCTAACACTGGAGAGGGAATGCTGCCGCAACAAGACAGATGGGCTCGCCATCATGAGTGAGTGCAAGCAGGCGAAAGAGCAAAATTTCCTTCTACTGTATTCTTCTATCTTGGCTGCCCCTAGAAGGTGCTGCCTAGACTTGGGGTGGGTCTTCCTGCTTCTTCACATGAATGCCCTGAAGCTTGGATTTTTGTTGACTGTAGATGTAGCTAAGCTGACAAAAAGGTTAACCATCACAAGGATGGCTCATGAATGTGAGGCCAGCCTGGACTACATAGTGAATTCCAGGTCAGCCAGGCTGCAGGATGAGACTTATCTCAAAAACACCCAGAAACTGGGTGGTGCGGAAGAATTATCTGTATTCTGTCGATCATATTTTAATAAAACGCTGATTGGCCAGGCAGGAAGTATAGGTGGGTCAACCAGACAGGAAGTAGAGGCGGGGTGATGAGAACAGGAATATTCTGGAAAGCAGGAAGCTCCCTCCGCACTCCTGCGCAGACCACCGAAGAGGCAGCATGTAATTTGCCCAGCTGAAAAAGGTACCAAGACATATGGCTAACATAGATGAGAATAATGGGTTAATATAAGCTATAAGAGTTAACAAGAAGCCTTAGCTAATGGGCCAATCAGCTTTATAACTTATAGAGATCTCTGTGTGATTGATTTTCTCTGGGACTTGCCGGCGGTGGGTTACCGGGTGGGAACAGATATCCCAACAAGCCGGCCCTCATGTTACAACTGGGCTGGAGAAATGGCTCATTGGTTATGAGTTTGGTCCCCTGTACCCACACTGGGAGGCTCACGACCACCTGTAACCTAACCTCTAGGGGCCTCTGAAGGCACCTGCACATACATGCACGCACACAAACACACAAATAAAAACCAACCAAACAAATCAAGTCAAGCCAAACAGAGCAGCCCTTTACCCCAGGGCCCTAGTTTGAAATTTAGACAGTGCCCCAGCGACATGCGACCTAAGCGTGTTGCTGTCTATACTAGAAGCACAGCACCTAGCTGATGTGCACACCGTATGCACTATTGAATGAGCACTACATGTAGAAGAACCGACCTCTGATGTTCCAGAAGCCAAGAGGAAAGCATGGGAGGTGGTTTAGCTTGTTAGTTTTTGCTTCTTTCTCTGATTACATGGCTTCATGGAGACATTCTCTAGAGTTGAGGAAGTGAGAGAAACGGGTGATCTTGACTTTCAGGTGAATTTCTAAGGTTTGCTGGCATGAGGGAGAGAGCTGCTTGCAGCTCTAGGGGTGGCCTGCAAGATGATGAAGAAGCAGAATTTCAGGCAGTACATCTAGTTTCTACTTTGTTGAGCAGAGAAGACCCAAAGTTTGAGACTATGCTAATTCATGTGCTTGCCCTCACCTCTGTAAATGGTCCAGTCATGAATCCCTCCTTACTAAGCCCTTTGGAGTATGCATTTGCCTCCTGCCAAGGTCCTAAGCTGCACAATAGTATAGTGCAAAGCTGGTGTGGAGTTTCAGTTGTTTGATTACCATTTGCCTTGAGTGCCTTTTGGGAACGACCCCAAGAATCAGCAGGAAAGAGAGTAACAATGGGAGAACCATATACAGGGCATTTGTGCCGCATTCACTCAGTGAGGTTATAGTGAGTCCTCAGTGCCAGGCTGTCCCCAGCCCTGGGAAACAGCAGCAAACAGAACAGAAACGTTCCTTCTGCTGCAGAATTTTTATTCCAATGAGGGAGACGGACAACAAGCAAACAACAAAAATCTAAAGTCAGGTGACAACGACTGCCAAGAAGAAAGATAGAGAAGGCAAGAGTCAGGGCTGGAGAGACGGCTCAGTGTTAAGAGCATTTGCTGCACTCACAGAGAGGTCCCAACACTCACATCGGGTGGTTCACAACTGCCTATGACTCCAGCTCCAGGGTTTCTGACATCCTCCTCGGCCTTTCCCAGGCAGCTTCACATGTGTGCACGTACACATATGCTGACATACAAATACAAATAAAAATAATAGAAAAAGAAGGCAAGAGGCTAGGTGCACATACGTGTCTTGAATTCCAGCATTTTAATCCCAATAACAGGCAGGTGGATCTACTTCCAGGACAATCAGGGCTACATGATGAGATCCCATTTAAAAGAAAGAGAGAAAGAAAGAAAGAAAGGAAGGAAGGAAGGAAGGAAGGAAGGAAGGAAGGAAGGAAGGAAGGAA